AAGCTGAAGCTCAGCTGGTTTTGGCATACCTTGCTTCATGATTTTCCAACTGTTTAATGGCAGTGCTTGTGCACTGGCGCAAATCACTCTGTCCGAGCTGTGCCTCAGCTTACTCATGGAACGTTGGTAACGTACCTGGGAGCAGTATTCAGAGAAGGAAATGGTAGCATTGTAAATCACATCGGGGAACAGAACAGGTATAGCAAGAAACTATAGGTGCTGTGGGGAGGAGCAGATGAGCATAAGACAAGGTGTCTAGGATTGGCTGATAGCTGGTAGTGGACTTGTTGGGATTTGAGAGTGAAAAAGCAGGGGAGAAGTAGTTGGATTAGGATAGAATATTTCAATTTGGTTTGGAGAAGGGGATCTGGGAACTACTGGAACAATTTAACATGGTTGAATAAGTACATTTTCAAAAAAAAAAGCAAGGAAGATCAGCACTGGATGAGAGAAGGAAAAAATAGTCATATTTATAAAGAGAAAACATAATTTGGACTGGGCCAATATTTGTGATGCTAGATTTTTCTTCTCATGTCTTTCTTTCTGCTGTTTGCAGCTACTTGGTCAGATTGCACGTTGGCAATACTCTTCTGCCTTTATATCTGAATAATAGCCTTCATAGCTTCATCGCAAGTCATGCTTCATTTCTGCCCCTAAGCTAAACCCTATTCTATCTGGCAATTGCCAGTGCTTGTGTTTTCCCAGAAAGTGTCTCTTTATAAACTTCCGTGTCTGTATCACTCCTCTTTCTAGCCTGCTTTTATCCATACTCTTCTTCCTTAGTTCCATTTTTTTGATTATGGATCCATTTTTTGTAGGTGTCCTTACATGCATGGGCATGTTCCTCCTACACATAACTTTTCACAAAGAAACCTTGGGAATGCTGCTTTCAATCCTGAACATACCATCTTTATGAAGGGCACCGTAGAAGTAGCACCTTGCACAGGATACTCAGTCTGCGCCTCATGGTGCAATGCTACATTTAGTTGTTTAGCAGATGGAAAAGGGGTGTAGGGTCAGTCTCTGAGCAGTCTAGACTGGTGCATCTATGAAAATACACTTTTCCTTCCTTTCTATCCCAACAATCATTCAGCTACTGGACATGTGAGTTGCTCGTATCTTCAGCGCACAGTATTTTTAATTCTGAGGTTTTAGCCTCTGTGACTTTGGTTTTGTTATAAGATTTCAAAACTTGATGTTGAAATAAATGAATATTTTCTCACAATTTCTTCCTCCCATCCCTACCAGGATGTTTTTGCATATGATATTTAGGAAGAGTATTAAACACAAGTGAAATAGATTAAGAAATGAATGTAAAAGAATCAATTCTTTTGAACTGTGGTTGCATAATGGAAATCGACTGCTATGAATGAACCTATGTTCAGAAGTTACGAACAGCAGAGCTAATGCACTGCCATGAGTTCATCTTTATTATTGCATTACACCTGAATCAATTGATAAAGTAGCTTCTTTTTAAGGCTAGGAATGGCACTTAATTGAATAAAAGTCGATGTAATTATATTAGGAGAATCCAACAGTACTGCTGACAGCGGAAAAGGGACACTACTGAGCAGAGTGCCAGAACTGGTCCACACATTTCTGCACATCGTTTGCCTGACAGATATTATGGGCTGGTACATACTTTAACTAGATTACTGATTGCCACTGCTGTAAGTGAGAATTGAATCAGAGAAGCTTCTCTTCTTATCAGAGCATCAGCAGGGTTTGCATCCTTACACTGGTCTTTCTCAGAATGGCCTGTCCATCTGGGGCTCAGTGGCCCTCTTTAATGTGGTAATTTATTCTTATCTCTTCATTCAGTGAATGCTGGACTTATGTTCATTGCATGCCTGCTGGCTGCTGTTTTTCTCAGCAGCAAACCAAGGAAATAGGAGCACAGATGCATGGAAACAGTTACAGTTATCCTGACTAGTTTCTACACTGCAGCAAATTCCTGTACCAGGGGAGTGAGGGAGAGAAATCAGAAGAAATAAACACATGAGCACTTTATGAGTAGTTTGCAGTTAGCATTATGATGATAAGCACAAATGTGCTTTTATGATCTTGTAGTAACGCTGGTCAGTGTGGACATGCCTTCAGAGTAAGCATTTCCTGTACTGCACTTAGCAACTTTGCGTGGAACAGTGTGCCATCTGACATCAGCAAGGCAGGGGACTGCCAGGGCTACTGTTTATCATTCATGTATGTGTGCACTGCATGCATCTGCTCAAAACTCATTTGTGGATGATAACGGGGATGCTGTGAATTTGCTTTGATTAATTTGCTTTATGTTTTTCATATTGTATGTTGGAGTCAGTTTCCATCAGGACAACAGTATAAGTGAGATTACAACTGATAAAAATACAGTTTCGCAGTCAAGACTTTTTTAGAAAGTCTGTATTTTATTGGTTTCAGATATTATTTTCTTTTTCCTTTTTTTTTTTTTTTTAACACATATGTCTGGACTGGAATGTGAATTTGTTTTCTCTCTCTCTCCTCCCCCCCCCCCCCCTTCTCTTTTTTGCTCTTTTCTTTCTCTCTCTTTTGTGATCTCAATTTAGCAAAAGATTAGAAAGCTGATCTTATCACAAGGTAAGCTCAGCCTTCCTAAGTGCAGTGTGGGGATATGCATAATTACACTTCTGCTCCCTAAAAAAGCAATGGTGCTATACTTGCTTGTGTGAAAGAAGTGTTTCCCATGTGGGAGAAAAACAAGGAATACTCTCCACTTTTTCTACCCTTGCCCATACCTCTCAACTGTTTCTCATTAGGAGAGAAATTTTCCATTCTAGACCCTCCCTTACTGGAATAATTGCATCCCAAGCAGACATGCAGACATGATTCAATTAGACTCCAGTTCAGTATCAGTTTTATGTCAGAGAACAGTTACCTGCATTTGCAGGTGAGTGGGACAGATCACTTCTATTGCTGTGTTCTGTATTTATTCCCAAATGTTATGTGCAAAAGACAGATGAATCACAAAGAAAGTGATAGAAAAATACAGAAATTAACTCCACATCAATTTAATCTTCCTATATTTGCATTTTCCTCACTCATCTGCATTGTACTGCTGTACCCTATTTGAGACTTCAGTTGGTTGAGAGATATGTTTCAAAGGGTTTTGTAAAACAAAAGCTTTCAAGGAAATTTTGCTAATAGCTATTGTACCCCTTTCCCCTCCTGTTGCAGGTTTTTTTGGGGGGGGAGGGGGGGTGGGTTTCTTTTTTTTTTTTTTTTGTTGGTTGAGTTTTGTTTGTTTTTACTGTAGGATCTGAATGTCTGTAAAATATTTGATCCTTGTTGTGCCTTCCCTTGCCAATTTTATACCTAGTGCTTTTTTGAAAATTAAAGTATTCCTATGTTAAAACTCTCTTTCTCTCTCTCTCTTTTCCTTCCCCTTACACCCCCCTTACCCCCCTTCTTTTCCCTCCTACATTTGGGCTCTGATCTGCAATTTATAATGGGCAGACAGACTGGTGAGTCTGCATGTTGTAAATTGCGGGTTTGGGTCCTTAGCTTGCAAAGAATGTTATGCAGTAGAACTTCGCTAATTGTTTTCTTACTGACTTGAAAATCCAGTCACCTTCCAAAGAAACTGAGTAAATATTTGTTGTTTCCTCAGCAATGGTGCACATTCTGAATACTGAACCCTAAAGTTTTCTAATACTGAAAACTTTATACTGATTTCTTATTATTAAGCACTTTGACAAAACGAGCATGTTCTGTGGTCAGAGGTCTTTGATGTCTGTCATGTTGTTTGTTCGTTGCATTGCTAATTCAGAAAATGCTGTTTTTCAAAGAGGATTTCCTGACACTACTGCAAATCAGTGAGGTTCTACTGCAATGGGTGAATAAAGACGATGTCAAAAGCGGAGAGTAGAATGCAACATTTAAAATAATAGGCTGCTTTACACAGTTACTAATCCAAAGTCTTACATTTTGTTTGCAAGTGTAGAACTTTATTTCTTGAGAGCAAGGGCCTAGATTCTGTAAAACACTTGAGAATATTTCAACTTGCAGCTCTTGGAATCTGCTCCAAACCACTGACGTCAGTGACAGCTTTTCCAGTGTCTCTTGAGCACCCATGCTGACTTCAGCATATACCTAAACCAAAGATCATGCTCAAGAGTTTTAACTGATTTGAGGCAAAATTCTCATTGCCATTAGTATGGTCTTTTTGGTGGAAATTACGCTGCTTGGGTCACTGGGCACTGCATTGGACACCCAACTGGAAAAGTACAGGGAGGAGTGGCCGTGTCCTCCCAGAAGGATGGAACCAGTGACTTTGGCTAAGATTTTAGGAAACTTACATGTAGATTTCAGAGACTTGTTCTTCTAAACCCTTCAAGTCCTTTCCTTCTTGGTTTGGCCCAATTCTGAATCCCTTTATACCAGAATTAAATTATCAGAATCAGGACCTCCGACTATGTATCATTCAGTTACCTTTATTTTTTTTCTCTTCATATATTCCACTTACACAGTTATGTGAGTACCTACATATATATATATAAAAATATATATAAATAAAAGATATATTTATATGTATGTAAAATATATAAGGATATGGATATAGAGACAGACATAGATACAAACACACACAGATACTGCATATATTAATAATATTTTCTCTTGAAGCAAGGCTTTTAGGAAGGCCAGCAGGGATTCAGAAACCAAGAAAAGCATTTTGCATTTGCTGCTAGTGCAATTTATTATTTTGTAAATATCAAATAAAAGGGTTGTAGCTGCTGCTGGGACTAATGTTGAGGAGCAGTAGCTGAAAAGAAAAACAATATAGGGGTGCGGGGCTTGTTTTGGATTGGTTTTACATTGAAATTTGTTCACCTATAACAAGATTGAATTTTCCAAGAAACATGGATTGGGGATATTTTTTATGATAGATTTTTGATAAATCAGACTTTGGATTTGGTGCTTGATGACTGTACATTTAATCAAAAATAACATACGTTTTTCCTCTTCTCCCTTCCTTCTTCCTTTCTCAGACACAGTGCTAACATAAACCTGCACCGTAAACTGTTGACCAAAGAACTGGATGACATGGGCCTGGACACCTCACAGCCTTCTCTTAGTAAGGACCTCCGTGATGAATTTTTGGTGAAGATATATGGCGCTCAGCACCAGATGGGGCTTGACATAAGGGAAGACACCTCCTCACCTGCTGGTACTGAGGATTCCCATATGAATGGGTATGGCAGGGGCATATCAGAAGACTATATGGTCCTAGACCTGAGCACCACCTCCAGCATCCAGTCCAGCAGCAGTATTCATTCCTCAAGAGAATCAGATGCAGGAAGTGATGAGGGCATTCTCCTGGATGACGTCGATGGGGCAAGTGACAGTGGGGAATCTGCCCACAAAGCAGATGCCCCTGCCTTAGCTGTAGGTATGGGCACTGATGTCCCAGGATCCCTCATGTTCAACAGTGTTTCGGTGAGCAACGGTGGGATAATGTGTAACATTTGCCACAAAATGTACAGCAACAAGGGGACCCTCAGAGTGCACTATAAAACAGTGCACTTGCGAGAAATGCACAAATGCAAAGTCCCTGGGTGCAACATGATGTTCTCCTCTGTCCGTAGCCGAAACCGGCACAGTCAGAACCCCAATCTGCATAAAAACATTCCTTTTGCTTCAGTAGATTAGTTCAAAGATGGACACAGCATAATGCCAGCTCTCAGAGAGGGCCCACCACATTTGAACTGCCATATACAGTCGTCTCCCTTTATATATATATATATATATATATATAAAAATATACATATATATATAATCATTTTCTTTTCTAACAGAAGAAACACCAGGTGCTTTTTTCCCCTTTGTTGGTTGTTGGGTTGTTTTGTTGTTTTATTTTTTACATTTTATTTGGGATAGAAACAAAAAGGTGGGATCTTTAATTTGGGAGAACAGACCCTTCACAAAAAAAGCCAACAAAACCAAGAAATATACCCACAGAAAACTTGCAGTTGTCCCTAGTTCTATTAGAATGTTCTTGGTCATCTCCAAAAGGACAGTTTGTTTTACTCATGACTTTTGCCTGAAAAAAAGAATGAAAAACAACAACAACAAAAAAAAAAGCAAACAAACAAAAAGAAAAAAAAATCTACTTAGTTGTCTTTGTGTCTTCTATGCATTGGGGATAACGTTCTACTAAGCATGGCTGTTACACTTGTATATATATATTGAGCCTTGACAGGCCTATGATGTAAAACAATTGTATTGATGGTGGTTTAACTCTGATTTCTTTGCTTACTTTTTACAGTTACATTCAGCTGTTAGATAAACAGGAAAAATAGTTTGCTGGCTAGTCCTACTCATTTATGTTAGCTTTAATGCACATTTTTAAAAGAACCACGGTCTTGTTTTAACTACCTGCTAGATATAAGTAATACAGAGGTGCTGGCATGCTTTACAGTACCTGATCTAATACAGTTTTTTTGTCTTGTACTATTACATAAATCCAGTCATGCACTTTTTCGTACACTACAAGGGGATGTGTAATAATATCCATGCTTTTTTTTTTTTCCTTAAACTATTGCCATATTTTCAGTAAGTGTCTTTAAAAAAATACACTTAGATAAAAGTGGTCTGGTCAGTATGAGGGCATGAATGCCAAACAAAGAGTGTTAGTGTTTAGTGTTAATACAAAAGTGCCAACTTTGCACACATTTTGAAAAAAAGAAAATGTAGTTATTCACCATTACCACAGTTGTAGTTTTTGGACTACAGGAAAAAATACTTGGGAGGGAAAAAGGATAAAGTGAAACACAGAATTCTTGGTGCTTTTGTCAAGTGCCAATTATTACTAGAAACAATAGTGCATCCTCATTCCTTATAGAGTACATTACATAGAAGAAAAAAAAAAAAGAATTGTTTCATGTGAATCAGTGGAAAGTTTTTTCTTTTGTCAAACATGCATAATATTTGGGGATATAAATGCTGATACTACTTGTCACAGAACAAAGATGAATATAATTTTGTGTGCTTCTTACTATGGCCTGGATTTTTTGTGGTGTTTAAAAAAAAGGTACAAAAAGAACAGGGAAATAATGTTAACTATGTTGTTCTGTAAAGTTGTCTTTTTTTGCAATGGAGATTGCTGTAGTGTGATTAAGGCATGTTTTATAGAAGCAATCAGAAGAAATTAATGGCAGAAGCACTTAGAAGCTCTGAAAACATATGCTGGACTTTTTATTGGGTAACTTTCCCTTTGGATAAAATTAGGGTCCAGAAAAAAAGGATCTCTTATTGTGTTAATATTTTGTGTTTCACCAACATGGTTTTTCAGAAAATAATAAAAGTCCAAGAAGGATAGCAAGAAAGAGAGTAAGAATGGACAGGGAGAAAGAGCAAGCAGCTGAGAAAGGCAGAGAGAAAACGAGGCTGTCCTCTGAATCTTTTGTTTCTGGTGTTTACACGTTGCTTGAGCTGGTAAACCACACTGGCAGCCTGAGTTACCACAACATACTGACTGAGTGATGGTATTTACTTACGTTCAGTCTACAGCCAAAACCATTTGGGTGTGTGTTGTAGACTCTTTTCTTTACAAAACCAATAACAATAACAAAGCAAAAACAAACAAGCAAACAGACAAAACCACAAGGGATATTCCAGTGTACAATAAAATATGCCTTCAGTGAGAATGTGTTCCTTTTCTGTATTGCTGACCCAGAACATTATTCTTCTTAGCCAAGAGTCAGAAATGCTCCATTGTTTCAGCTTGTCATTGTTTTGATTTGCTGTGCATTTTGATTATTCTTACCTTGATGTCCACTTGAGTACTTAACTCATGTTTTCTAGAGGAAACTCTTAATATGGATTTCCTCATTTTTAGTACTCTTTATGCATTTCAGTATTCTTGTTTCCAAAAGTAGGAATCAATAGCTAATAAATCAGTGTTTGCAGTTGTAGAAAATAAAAGAAAAATCTTTCTAAATGAATTCTCACTATGTTCTTATGGATTACAAACCTCTGATAATTTTTTTGATGCTGTACACTGATGAAGCCCGGGAAACATTTGTGGATCCCACAGAAACTGTAAGGAAAATTTAACAAAAAAAAAGAAACTTTATAGTGAAAAGCTGTAGCAGTTTCACAGACTTTTTTCTTTCATCTTTTTTGTTTTTCCTCAAACTCTCAGCTACTTTGCCTTGTTAAATTGAGTGGAGAGATCTGCTTTGCTTTGGTTTATGTTGTGCAAGCTCAGTGTGTTTGTGAGAAAGGGAAATTAGTAAGGGTGCATTCTTCTTAAACACATGGACCTTTGTAGTGTTATCTGTACTGAACTCCCGTCCCTCCTCGCAGGCTATTAAGACAAGGAAGATGGAAAATCTAAAAAAAATCCTCAACAAAAATTGAATGGTATCTACAGAAAGAAAATCTCACTGTTTCCTAGTGTGTACGTTATAAATAAATATCATTTTTAATGAAAAACACATTTGAAGTATATAAATAATTCCTCACTGAATCAATCACTGTTCTGCATTCTCATTTCACTCTGTTTCTGTAAGAGGTCAAACGGTTTTGGTAAACTTGTTTGGAAATTTAAACATCATCAGTAGATAAATTCAGCAGATGAATTACAGAGGAAAAAAATAATCTGTTTATTACACAGAATGAAACAGACCATTCTGAAATGTAAAGAAGCAGACACAAACCTCAAAAAAGCATTATAAGCTTTGCAATCCTACTTTTATGACATCCTAAACTTCATTCAAATTTTGCTTGAGCTATGTAGGAGATACCATCTCTGTTTTGTGGACAATGTTACTCGTTATTTCTAGGTGAATCAAGCAGTTTCTGCAGTGCTAGTGATACTAATGACAGAATTGTCTTTGTGTTAGAAGGGCACTTACACTTACATTGAATTGAATGGCATTTCCCTCCTTCCTACTTACCATGAACGTCTATGAAAATCTGTATATATCAGAATTGTTCCTGTGGTGGAGTTTGTATCATCTAAAGTTACCTGAAAAATCCTTAAAAGGGCTGTGTTGTAGAAGTTTGGCTTTACCAGCAGAAAGTAGCATTTCTGGTTGATTTTAGTAGCGACCCAGACTGCAATAAGCATAATGACCAAATATCTCATGTGTCCAGCACATGGCATGGCTGTAGTTGTGTGATGACAAGATACATGTTGTGCAGTTGCTTATGCCATCACAAACCTGCAGGTATCTCTTCAGTTTCCAAATCTTGTCAGTCTTTTTACAAGAATTAGACCAATTTTGAGGAAGAGATTTTTCATTTTACGTGGATTTTGTTCCTTCTTGTTTGTTTCTTATACTTTTATGGTCAGTCTTTTCACCTTGTTTCACTGTTTTTTTTATTCAATGTAGTTGTATTTTTCTGTAAATATCAAGAAGTCTTTATCTGAATTTAGGAAATAACTCTTTGTACTATCCCCCTTTGGGATCGGAACTACTTGTCTGGAGGTTGTTAAGCATTTTTCTGGGTTTCGGAGGGGAGGGGGGTGGGTCAGGAAAGGATGTGATACTGGTGAATCACTAGGTATTTTTTGAAAAGCTGTATGAGGCAATTTTGAAGGAAAACAGCACAGTCAAAGCACAAAAAAGGGAACCAGGAGTTTTAATACCATCAGTGGCCCCTTCTCACTGTTTAGTCATGGACAGATCACATCACTTACCCATCTGCTAAAATACGGCTAATACTAACATGATCTTCCCCATAAGTGTGCTGCTGTGAGGACTAACTAGCTGGTGTTAGTAAAGAGCTAATTTGAGTCATAACTATTTTTGCACACTTTACAGTATTTAGTCAATTTTTCTGAACTATAACTCAACCAGGTACATTTCATTATGGCTGAGATTTTAACTTTGCCTCTTAAACTGCAGCTGGCTCCATGGTGACACTGTAGTCATCCACACAACATATAAGCACTCTGTCACTGAGTCACAGCTCAATTTGACAAAATGTGGAAGATACAGATTAAAAAGCCTATTAGCATATAAATACTACGCTTAAAAATATCTCAAAGGCTTTTTATGACTGAGTTCACAGAATTTGTATGCTTCCTAGGGATCTGTAGATGCTTTACGGAGAAAATATTGTGCACCATGTTTGCTGTGAGTGTATTTACTTACTTTTCTCCCTCCCTCCCTTCCTTCCTCCCTTCCTCTCTTCCATCCTTCCATCCTTCCTTCCTTCCTTGTGCACCATGTTTGCTGTGAGTGTATTTACTTACTTTTCTCCCCCCCTCCCTCCCTCCCTTCCTTCCTTCCTTCCTGTAAATGAAAGTCTGCTTTGTCTGCCTGTTTCAGAAGTTTTCCATCACCTACGTACGTGTTTCCTACTCCATCCCCCCAAAAAAGGGACAGTTTAGGGAAAAAAGTAGAGTCAGGTTCTACACAGTAAACTTGCTGTCAGGGGTGACCAGCACCTCTTTTGATCTGGTGCAGTGCAGCTAATAGGAAGCTGGACTACTGCAATCCACTTGAGTTTTCCCTGAGTTTTAGTCTTCAGTTAACACAGTTAAGGATCTAGCATGGCTAAGTATATGGGGTAAGAATGTGCCTAAACAATAAGATCAAGAGCTGTGTGGGTATGGGGAAAGGTCAGAAACATAATGATTCAAGGTCTGATGTGTTCCAAAGATAGGAACCAGAGATTTAGTTCAAAAATTTCTCCTTCAATATGTACAATATTTTAAAATCAAAGTGCTTGTTTTGGACCCTTTTTCCACACAGTTGTTAGGAATGTCAGCTGTCATCAGAAAACATGACATCTTTTCAGAAATGTATTTATACTCAAATTCTGCAGGAATTTCATGACATCATTAGTGGCAGGTGAAGGAATAAGGGAGAGAAAGCGATCTAGGACCGTGCACATGCTGCGCTGAATTTTTTGTGCCAGTCATGTGAACAGACCTATTACTCCTTCTTCTGTCCCCAGAATGTTTTTTGTCAATTTCCTCTTTGGGTTGTGGTAACAAAATTACTCTTTCAAAAGAGATGCAAAGGTGTCTGTACTAAGGGCAGGAAGGCAGCAGGAGTTCTCTGTGGGGAAAAGGTGAGTGACAGACACATGACAGCAGCTGGTATATGTCAGTTTCTTCTTCTTATTTTTAGTTTGCTACTTTGCTACTTTGCTGCTGTAGTAACTCAACAAAACAGTGACTGTAGTGCTACTTTGCTAGATAACCATCAGTGTATTCTGCTGTCAACACATGATGAGTTGGGCTTTTTTCCCCCTCTTGTAGGGACATAAAAGGAACTTTTTTTCCATACTCATTTCTACTTTATGAACAGTGTAACATCATATGATGGACTGAACCTTTCACCCACATGTTTGCCCAAGTACATGTCTGTTCCAGTCCCATGGTTTCTGTCTCTTCTTGCCAAGCAGCGTTATCACTGCCTTTAAAATGGCCTGTAACAGAGTGAAGCAGTAACTTTTTTACATAAGTAGTATTATCTTGAATCTGTAGTTAACCAGTCTTATGTAGCTTGTTTTCTCTGGTTTTCATGATGTTGAATGACAGCTTTGATTTTTGGATCAAAATATTGATCATGTATATGCCGATACTGTTGCTGTTGTTTGGCACTGGCACTGAAAGGAAAACAGTTCTGGACCACCAAAGGGTTAAAAAATGGACATGTTTTTGACAAGTCCTCTTGACTTTTGCCAGTATTATTGTTCATTATGATGACACTGTATTTTTTTTGAATAGCAGTTGTAGTTGTCATAAAACTATTTTCCCATTCCTCTCCTTTAAAGTGTGATGTTGTAAATTCATGTGACCTTTCCTGCAAAGAATAAATATTTCTTTTTTTATATAAGATCTCAAGACAAGGCTTGGTTTGTAACAAATAGTGGCCCATTACGAAGCAGGAAAAAAACCTGAGCTGAGCAGAAAGAAGCTTCAGTTCAATTTCACCTCATATCTTTCTAATAACTTACTTGTCACTTTATTACCTTCCAGTAATGTGAATGCTGCTGACAAGACTGTCACACTAACAGCAGACAACACCCTCTCTTCCTTAGCTCCAGCTCTCCTGGCTACTTATTGCACTGGCCCTGAAGGGACACAAACTAATAGTGTGCTTTCAAGTTCAGCACTTGGCCATCAAATATAAAAGGATGCGTAATTGCCTATTTATCCCCTGTGAAGGGGAAATTGAGTATAAGAACCAGGCCCTCCCCATACCTTGACACACACACACGCATGCACACACACATCTGCAGTGAGTGAAGGGAAGTCCCACCTGGAGCACTTCGATTTGTCTTTGGGAAGCCCAAGGCTGCCACTGGCTGCTCTATCGAGCTATCACACAGACAGTAACAAGACGGCTTCTTAACAAAAGATTAGCTGAGAAATACTGTCTGTGATGGCACTTGTGTCTGCTTATGTAGCAACTAATTGCTTTGTATTGGCATAAGCCATACTGTGCCTGCTAGAAATAGTTGTGTGAATTTGCTTCAGGGCTTGCTGTGTAGGCTCCATGGCCAACAGGATATGCAGTCTTTTTCTGGTTTAGCCCATCCCTTCGCAAATTTTAGGGCAATACCATCCTTTTGGATTTCTGTGATGGATGCCAATTCTAGATATCCTTTCTGCAGTGACAGGAACATCTCCTCCTAAGGTCAGTGCAAACCTCAGTAAAGTGTTAGGGAAACATATCTGAGGCACAATCTGCTGCCCCTATACAAGAAGGAATTTTTTTTCTGATTTATCCCTTCATTTACAAGAACGCTGCCAAAAGTACAAGCTCCAGAAGCACTTCTCAGATGAGGCCATCAGGTAAGAGAGTTCGACAGTGAAGTCGCTTGGAAGCAAATACCATGTTTTAAGAAATCGTAAGTGCACAAAGGCCAGTGTGGCCACCTGGCTTCAGGCACTCTCCTTCCTTTTTATTTTATGCTGACTGCTGAATAGCAGTTGAGAATCTGAGTAGGCAGAGGAGCAGCTGAAGCATGCTTTTCCTGGCAGGGTCAGCAGCATTCCTGTGCTGAGATGATACACCAGATACTATATGAGCCTGTGAGAACTGGGCACTATGGGCTGCACAGTGTTGGCAGCCACTGCAGCAGCAAAAAAAGGCAAAGACTGGGAGACCTAAACACAGCCATTTTGGTGTTCATTGTTTTCCATATCCTTGGATCAATTCATGGCATTAGTGGGCTGCAGCTCGTCATTGTATGTTCCAGATGCTAATAGTATCTCCAGTGCTGTGTGGTAATTTGATGTTTGCTACAATAGAAGTGATGGTACCCATTATAAATATGCTGAGGCTTTTTACCAGGCAAAGGTCACTGATCTTTTACCTCCTTTTCCTTACAAGTGCATCAGAAGCTATGAGGGTGAAATCAGCAATTTCCTGAAGCCTGTTTGTGTCAGAAGCGTAAAGGCTGAGCCCAAATTCTGCTCCCCTGTCAACTCCATGTGCACATGGCGCTGACAGAGGTGGGAGCAGTTGGA